ATGCAGGTCCCACGGCTCCATGGGGGTGGCCCCCGTGGTGGGCACTGACTGTCCCTGGGGGCCCTGAGGAGGAGGAGGGAGTGACAGGAGTCTTCTGCGTGTGGGATGGAGGTGATGGTGCGGGGGCTGCAGCAGCCTGGGGACCACAGCTCCTGCCCCAGCTCCCCTGGGGACACGGGCAAGTCCCTCACAGCCCTTAGGGGTCCCACAGGACCCTGGGACTGGGGAGGGGGCAGAGCAGCCCTGATCCTCCAGATGGGGCTCAGTTAAAACCCACCCCCCTGTGGCAGGGAGCAGAGGAGGCCTGGTCTGGTCTGAACTCCGCCCGCACCCGGTGCCCGCCGGTCCCCGCCCCGGGAAGGGCCCAGCCGTGCCCGCGGGTCTTGTGCAGGGCCCGTCCCGTCCCGTCCCATCCCATCCTGTTCCATCCCGTTCCATCCCGTCTCGTCCCATCCCGTTCCGTTCCATCCCGTCCCGTCCCATCCCATCCCGTTCCATCCCGTCCCCTCCCGTCTCGTCCCATCCCGTTCCGTTCCATCCCGTTCCATCCTGTTCCATCCCGTCCCATCCCGTCCCGTTCCGTCCCGTTCCGTCCCATCCCATCCCGTCCTGTCCCGTCCTGTTCCATCCTATCCCGTTCCATCCCGTTCCAACCCATCCCATCCTGACCCATCCCATCCTGTCCCGTCCCATCCCGTCTCATCCCATCCCGTCTCATCCCATCCCGTCTCATCCCATCCTGTCCCATCCCATCCCGTTCCGTCCTGTTCCATCCCGTCCCGTTCCATCCCATCCCATGCTGTCCCATCCCGTCGCATCCCATCTCGTCTTATCCCATCCCAACCCAACCTGTCCCATCCCATCCCATCTCATCCCGTCCCATCCCGTCCCATCCTGTTCCGTTCTGTCCCGTTCCATCCCATCCCATCCCGAATCAGCACGACGGACACGCCGCTCCCAGCAGATGCTTTAATTGCCACCATGGCCAGTGGCCACACCGACTGATGGGGGGGTGGCCGGAGCTATCCCACATCCTCCTCGAAAACGGCCACCCCCCACTGACCCGCCGGGACGTAGGCGAGGGCGTCCACCTCGCCCCCACCACGGCTGGCCTTCTGGAAGTGGATCTCCAAGGCGTCCCTCATGGCCTCCGTGCCCAGCACGTCCGGGATCCCCGAGAGCAGGACGGTCCTGGGGCAGCGGTGGGGCTGGAGCTGGGCAGAGACGGGGTGAGCCGGGGTGGCCCCGCAGGGGAGGGGACCCCCAGGAGCACTCACTTGGCTCAGGCTGCACGGCGAGGGGGGAGCGGGGCTTCAGGAGCCCCCCCCGTGCTCTGGCAGGTGCCACGTGGCACTGGGGGCCGTGCCCTTACCTGCAGGTTAGTGACCTCTCCACTCAGGCACGGTGATATTTTGAGGTTGTATTTTCCTTTCCCAATTGGCACCTGGATGTGGCCCCTCGCAATTAGCGGCTCTGCCACTGCAGATGGAGAGGGAAGCCCTGAGCCCCCCCCGGCCCCTGCCAAGCTCCGGGGGAGGCTGTGTCCCCAACACAGACACCAAGGCTGGCACTGCCCAGCCCCAACTCACCTGCACCAGCACACTCCTGGGGGAGATGGGACAACCCGGGCCCACCCTGCCTTCCCCACTCCCCCCAGACACAGCTCCATCTGCTCCCAGGAGACCTGGGGACCAGTGGGGCACACCTCCCTCCCTGCCCCACACACCCCCATCCCGTGCGAAGGTCAGCACCACTTGGCTGGAGTCGTCCAGGAACTCCCTGCTCTCCACCTCGCCGCCCTCGTTCTTGGTCTTGCTGAAGAAGAGCTCCAGCTTGTCCAGCAGCGCCTCGTCGGAGATGCCCAGGCGGGGCAGGTTGGACACCAGGATAGTCCTGCTGCTCCGCGTCAGGCTGATCTGGGGGTGCCACGGGGTGGTCAGCGGGGGCTTGGGGGAGCAGGGCAGGGCAGGGGCTGGGCACAGCCAAGCTGGTGCGTGCCCAGGGGAGCTCTGCAGCCCTTTGGGACCCACCTCCAGGTCAGATGGCAGCAGAAGGTCCACCGGCGCCGCCTGCACCCGCACCCTGCACCGCTCGAGCTCCTCCAGCTCTTCCCCAAAGCTCAGCTGCACCGTGTGCTCCTTCGCCTCCACGATCCCCTGCGCCACTGCAAGAAGCAGGGAGAGCCCCCGGCACCGGGGATTGACGCCGGCCCCAAGCACACCATGGGACAGGACGTGGGGCTTTGGGGAAGGGACAGGACGTGGGGCAGCTTTGGGGAGGGGACAGGACATAGGGCAGCTTTGGGGAGGGGACAGGACGTGGGGCAGCTTTGGGGAAGGGACAGGACATGGGGCAGCTTTGGGGAAGGGACAGGATGTGGGGCAGCTTTGGGGAGGGGACAGGATATAGGGCAGCTTTGGGGAAGGGACAGGATGTAGGGCAGCTTTGGGGAGGGGACAAGACCCCCACACAGCGACAGTGGAGGGGGCAGAGCTCTGAGCCCTGGCCTCGGGGAGGAGGATGCAGGGCAGGACCCAGAGCCCATCGCCCAGGACATGCAGCTGTGTCACCACACTTCTCGCTCTTACCTTCTGCCTTCTCAAAGGTGACAAGAGCTGAGCCCCCCAGCAGAGGGTAGCGGATCAGCGGGGTGAGAACCAGCTTGTTCATGTCCCCCTTGTTTGTCACAAGTCCCTTAAACACCATTTTCTTCTCCGGCAAGGCCGGCAGCATCTACAAGAGAGATATCAAGGTGCTGGAGCAAGTGCAGAGGAGGGCAACAAAACTAGTGAAGGGCCTAGAAGACAAATCATATGAAGAGCGGCTGAAGGAGCTGGGGCTGTTCAGTATGAGGAAGAGGAGGCTGAGGGGAGACCTCATCACTCTCTACAACTACTTGAAAGGACACTGTAGAGAGGTTGGTGCTGGTCTCTTCTCACAGGTAATTAACAATAGAACGAGAGGGAACGGCTTCAAGCTCCAACAGGGGAGGTTTAGATGGAACATTAGGAAGGAATTTTTCACCCAAAGAGTGGTCGGGCATTGGAACAGGCTGCCCAGGGAGGGGGTGGAGTCCCCATCCCTGGCTGTGTTTAAGGGCCGTTTAGATGCAGTGCTGAGGGACATGGTGTAGGGGAGGACTTTGTAGAGTAGGGGAGATGGTTGGACTCGATGATCCCAAGGGTCTCTTCCAACCTCAATGATTCTATGATTCTATGATTCTATGATTCTATGATCTAGGTTCAAGTACAGAGACAGCACCTGGAGAAGACCGGACCCCACAGAGGACCTGTCCCTGCCAGTCCACGAACTAGAAACAAGCTCATGGCTCAAAACAAACAGCCAAAGAGCCCCAGCAGAGTCTCTCCTGGGGCTTGGCTGTGCCTGGGGTCCCAGAGCCACAACTGGAGCTCCTGGCCCTGGCAGAGGAGCAGTGCTGGTCACCACACAGTGCCCAGCTGCATTCGCTGCAGCCCCCCCAGCCAGGCTGGCAACAGTCCCCCCCAATGCCCAGACACTCCGTTACCGTCACCAGATCCTCCCCGATGACCTTCTTCTTCAATTCTTCCAGTTTCCTTTTCAGCAGCTGCTTCTCCTGCCTCAGTCTGTAATTCTCCTCCTTTGCTAAAAAAAAGTCCATCTGGAAGGAAAGGAAGAGGGGGCAGTAAGGAGGGGCGAGGGGCTGCAGCACATCTTCCCTTCTCAGCACCAAGTTCTTGGACACGGCTCCTCAAGCCCCATTTGCCAGCTCCTGGTTCCCCCCAGCCCTACCCCTGCCCCCCACCTCACAGCCTCCACCCCCTGCCCGCGCTCAATTCTTGGCACAGGCCTGATGTGACATCCCATGAAACCTTCCCCCAGGTCCAGGGGTTGAGATGAGTTATTTATTTATTATCAGTTGTATTAGTTTAACTTAAATAAGAAGGTTTTAGTTAGAATAAATGACTTAGCGTTATAACATGGTGTGATTGATGCTGTTTGCCTGGCTTTGCTGAGCACCACCAGCTGGATTTGCTGAAGTCCTCAGGCCACGACAAAGCTACTTTTCTCAGCGATTTCCCCAGCAGCTGGTGCCGAGCTTTGTTTGGCCTTTTAGCCTGAGGAAAATGTTGATAACACGCCCATGTTTTGATAGTGTTTTCCCTAACCCTGAGATTTTTCAGTGTGTTCCGCCAGCGAGCGCAGGCGCAGGAGGAGCACAAAGCAGGAGATAAGGAGGCTCCAGCCCTTGGTGGCAACTGGGAACCCGCCAGACAAGAGCAGAGCAGGGGCCAGCTGGGGCACAGAGAGGGTGCCCAGACCAAAGATCAGGGTCGCACTGAAAGGCAGGTGAACAGCGTGAGGGCGGGTGTAGAGAAGCAAAGGTGTGATTTCCTAGGGATTTCTCTGTTGGTCGCTCCCCGGAGGCGCCTGGCCCAGGCTGACCCTGCTGCTGCACCTTTCAATTCCATTACTTTTATAAAACCCAACTCCCGAAACTCCGCTGTGGGGAAACCGAGGAAGGAGGGAGAGTGCTGGGGAGCAAGAGTCTGTGTGTGAGGAGGGGTCCCACCCCCTGGTGCTGCAAGGAGACCCTGGTCCTGGCAGTGACAGACTCGGGGACACACACACACAACATTTGGCACCAGACAGGACGTTTCCTCAGGCCTTTTCCCAACTTTTCTTCGCATGAGCAGCTCCGTTAACACAGGGCAAAGGGGTCTCTCAGGGCAGTGAGCCCCACCACCCCCTTTCCTGGCCCAAGACGACCACCAACCTGGCAGGACTGCTCTTCCTCAACGGTCAAACACATTTGTTGGAGCTTTTTATGAAGAAGTTCTCCCTCTTCCCTCAGCTCCCGTGTCCGTTGGTCCACAAGCTCCTTGGCCGCCTGAATCTTCTCGTGGTCTTGCTCCAGAGCACGACAGAGCTCCTGCGAGAGGCACCGCTGGAGAGTGAGACCCCCCCGCGGGTGCTGGGCCCCAACACTGCCTGCCCCCACCCCCCCCGCACACGCTGCTCGCTGGGGAATGGGGGGCTGCCCCCCCGCTGAGCCCTGCACCCCAGCACAGGCTCTCCTAACCCCGGGAAACCCCCTCCCTGC